ACAGTTGTGGATTTTATTTCGTGTGTATATTGTATGCCCAAAATTGTTTTCGTGACCAGTTTATGCCGCGCTTGCCACACCGATTGAACAACACAAACCATGTATTATTCATCACAAAAAATAAACGTACATTTCTAGCCGCACATTCACCAGAATTATACCATACTGGGATTAATTTAACTCTAGGAATGGGCCACAAAGCTCAAAATAGAAGGTGCGAGTTGTCTCTGACTCTAAGCGTCTCAAACTAAGTTACTTTATCTAAAATGACATCAACTTAATAAGCCTAAACTATCAATGTTGCCTTTCAAATTTTAATGCGAGTAACGATAATACCATTGTCACGCGATATCGGCATGAATTATTAGTTGCAGTGCACACAGTAGGTATGTTAGTTTGTCCAAACCACTAATGCAAAGTTTACTAAAAAGACATGGTTATAGAACTAAATTATCAACCACTTCATTTGGTTCGCGAAATAGTATTTATGTCAGTAAAATGTGTAAAGCTGCAGGTGGCACATGCTCCTACACGAAATGGTCGTTGAAATGTAAACACAGCTAGCAAATATGCAATGTGCTTCAGGAATATAAAACAACTAGCGTTTTACAAACATACTTTACTATTGGTTTAGATAATGTTGCGGCGTTCACCATATTACTAAACCAGATATAGTGATACAGATTATGTACATGTTGTTAGTTACATCATTTATCTCCTATAAAATGTACCACATTAAGTATGGAGTTATGAAGGAAACTGTAGTATTAAACATGCAACAGGCAAAAGGTGTGGTCAATATATCGTGATTAATAGCAAGTGAATTTACCGTAAGTTGGAGGAAAACAGGTTAAACACATGCCAAAACATGCCGGAATAACGTTATCCAAGACACGCAGCTTTTCTATTGGCTTTTGCATTAGCTTTAGATTAAACGAAAGGCACCTACCTTCTCAATGCGTATTCAACAATAATTATCCTCTCAAGTTATTGATACAGCAGGGACCACAAATCTCAGATAGGTTGACATTAATAGAATGAATTGTAGGTAAATTGAGTGTTTGGCTATGAGCCCGTCAAGAATAAAAATTTTGCCATACCCAATTTAAAGACGAACTCAAGATGGAATAACTACAAGGTTTTCATATTGTTCTAATCCTACGTAAGCTCGAGCTTAAACTTCGCAACACGGCAGTAGAAGTAAAACAAACTTTATGCGTATATAAAATGTTCTTCTAACTAACAGGTATATTGTGTAGTTTCTTGCAATTTTAAGCATTGACTGCGCAGCATAAATGCAGAGGGTTTTAACATTATTTCATATGCTGAGTAGCAGTTACTCGACTCTCGAAAATTAACATCTATCAAGGAAACGTAAAGGAAAATGTGTCTTTTAAAGCTACAAGCGTTGAACAAAACCGTGGACTCAAAAGGAAACTGTAAGCAGAGTATGTCGTAACAAATCTTTAAATTTTTCAAAAGGAACTAAGCAGTTATTACCCAACAAGGGGTCTTTGCTTCTGTTCCATAAGGCATAATCACATTATATCAAGATATAGAATATCCGACATAATAAATGTCTATAGACAAAGGTGAACAGTAAGTTGTATCTTTCTAACGGTATTTAAGTAAGTGCCATCCTGTCTGGGGTGCGTTTAGTCAATCGCAAAGAGAAAAGGTAAATCACATCTTTAGTCGACGCAAGTGCCCAATATCCTGCCGCTAAGTGAACAAAGATGTCCGCTGAAGTGACCACTTAAGTTCTTTGAGTGACCGCTTTCCATGTCCTAACAGTCCGGACAAGATGTATTTGGGACGAACTTTAGCTCCTTAGGAAAAGAGGGTTAGTCATATGACAAACTATTTTATGGATGCATTTTGCTAGTTACAAAAACGATTATTAATATGCTGTAATCAATTGCAAAATTTTAGGTAGGCAATAATAAAGCCGTAATGTCAGAGTGACTGGAAGTCGTCCAAAATGTGTCTCATTGAGAAGGCCAAAAACAAGGAAACAGCCACGCACGGTGCACCAACGGTCAATCCAACAGACATATTTTGGGCCCTCAGCGGTAGTCTGTAGGTCAATATCGTAGACCGAAAGTGTATCAGAAGTACGCCGGTACGCGGTACCGACGCTTCGTTGCCGCGCAACCACCACAGTTTACACTTGGGTCAAGGATACTGCATGGTTTTCCTGTCCCTATGCAGGCCCAAAGTACGAGCTTTTCAAAATATAGATATTTATGGGGGAATTCAGGCCGTATTAGTGATTCCTCGTAACATCCAACATATCTGGACTAAAAGAAACCCATAAAGATAATCAAAAGTCAACGTTGGCAAACATATGTTTTTATAATTCTTCATCAGGTTAGTACAAACATATATCATCTACATCGATTAGACAGACTACTACGTCGTTAAAACGGGTAAAATCAATTTGCGAAAGGTCAATTGTTGCCAATAATCAGGTCAATGTCGAAGTCCTCACACGATCCAACTGAGTAAAAATCATTACTTGATTGGGCCAAGGCAGTTGTAAGGCATGAACAAATTGCTTTTGAGTGCACAAGTTTGATTCGTACAACCGGATTGCTATAGATAGAGCGGCTTTCAGTATCCGTCTGCGCATATACGTCGATTGATTAACCGGGGCCTTGTAGATACTTTGGAATGCCTCGGCTGGTCTAGGGTTGTGTCCTGTGTCGGCAAGGTGGGCGGTTATGGCTGAGTTACATACCCTTCTGCATCCGGTCGCTAGCCATGTCTGGCAATGTTCTTTCATTCTCTTGGATAGACACCTAGTCATACGACCAATGTATCCTGAACCACAGGAGCAGATGAAACAATAGCTACACATAGAGTTGTCGTGAACAGGTCTACTACCATTGAGGCTGTGCTTCACCATCGGTGTGCTGGTAAATAGGTATGTTATGAAACGGACTTTAATTTATAATCTAGTCAGTAGAGCAGAAAGAATCTGCTCGCATGATACACTTAAAGTTGAACTACAGCGAATAAGCTCGTTGCTGCGGGAAAATTGTTATCCAGATAACTTCATAAAAGTCCACATGGGGAGGAGTATGAACACACCTGTAGTTTTAACAGCTAGCAGAAAAGCGATTTTCTTGCACCTCCCTGGCAAATGGGAAATCGCTGCCGAAATTCTTATTCACCGTCTATCACAGGAGCATAGACGGACCATCCCAGTAACAAAATTACATATATACTTTACCAGCACACTGATGGTGAAGCTCAGCCTCAATGGTAGTAGACCTGTTCACGACAACTCTATGTGTAGCTATTGTTTCATCTGCTCCTGTGGTTCAGGATACATTGGTCGTACGACTAGGTGTCTATCCAAGAGAATGAAAGAACATTGCCAGACATGGCTAGCCACCGGATGCAGAAGGGTATGTAACTCAGCCATAACCACCCACCTTGCCGACACAGGACACAACCCTAGACCAGCCGAGGCATTCCAAAGTATCTACAAGGCCCCGGTTAATCAATCGACGTATATGCGCAGACGGATACTGAAAGCCGCTCTATCTATAGCAATCCGGTTGTACGAATCAAACTTGTGCACTCAAAAGCAATTTGTTCATGCCTTACAACTGCCTTGGCCCAATCAAGTAATGATTTTTACTCAGTTGGATCGTGTGAGGACTTCGACATTGACCTGATTATTGGCAACAATTGACCTTTCGCAAATTGATTTTACCCGTTTTAACGACGTAGTAGTCTGTCTAATCGATGTAGATGATATATGTTTGTACTAACCTGATGAAGAATTATAAAAACATATGTTCGCTAACATTGACTTTTGATATCTGGACTTATTCCTTAATTTCTTTTTATTGTTACTTTAGCCTTCTGTAAGCAATCAAAAACAATGATATGGGATCAGTGGACATCAATCCGTGAGGACAGGTTAGTGAGAACAAAGTTAGATCAATCAAAGCATTTCCGGCGTAGATCTGCGTTGTCATTATTGCGTTAAGACTACGTGTGGATTGACCTTCACTAAGTTTGGATGGTTCGGATACCATGAACAACCACGCACAACATGTTTTACCCTGTACACATGAAGAGAAGGATAGACGTCTAATTTTTGGCGTGTTTCTGATCACATGCAGAGGCTAAGAATTAATATATGAAAACAAATTGTTTGCAAGGTCGAGAAATGTTGTTGAATAAGGCTATAAATATTCAGCACAGCTGTTCTTTGCATAAAAGGTTTTGGTTTATGGTAAAATCATAATTTCATTCAACGCGTGTGATCGTTTGAGTACTTTGAGTGGCAAAGGTTTCTGCAACTGGCTGTCAAAATGGGACACATGTGGAACGAATTACGCTCATTCAAATGTATTTTCGCTTTAGCGTGACGAATATGCCATCGCGTGGTTACAAGTTGGGAATCGGTTAGCGCTTAATGCTGACGGTGATTGTACATAGAAAAAAATCATTTAGGTCTTTGATAATAGTTCGTTGGAAAAGCAACCTAAATGTCTAAACGTCGTTCAGATATTGTTTACCATGAACGGCCAAAAACACACATTTGCTCACTAAGTGCGCTACAACGGTCGCTACAGAGGACAGTTTTTGGTCAAATGTCCTAGGCTGGTTAGGGACGCCATAAACAGTTTCAAAGAGTGAAGGAGTTCTTCCTTAACAAGTCTTAATGCAACGACAATAAGCACAAAAAGCAATCAATTAAGGTGCTCTACAATAATTAAAGTGCACGGAAATTGGTTACTTGTATAATGCGGGGAGCAATCTTTATTCATTAAACAAATCACGCAAGGTTTATGATAGATAATCCTTAGCAAATTCGTAGTCAATGCAAAGAAGTATAAGCAAAAAGTATAAGTAAAGAAAGTTATAGATTTTGATTGCTATAAAAATCGATGGTTAATTAATGACTGGCACTATTCATTTGTGGAATTAATCATAGCAAATATAACAGATATGTTACCACACATAGAGCAAAACCTCACTTTGTTAGGTTCGGATATTTTGAATAAATCCAGGCGAGTCGCATTCCACTCTTTTATACGCTGCTGTAGGTTGTAATTATCCAAATTGTTTAACGGTGACATTTATCACCCACTCAAATAGGTGCCGTCGAGCCGACGCTCGTCTATTTACCAAACATGACTTATTAAAACAATGGTTGACTGGCAAAGTTTTCACTGTTTATGAAGCACTGTTTCTTTGTCAGGTAAGTTTTTTTAAACGCTTTTAAATAAAAGCAAGTCGGTAAACAGTACCGCATAACTCACCAAAACTCTTGGACCGACGAAGACCCTTAAAACTTAATGAGCACAATTCCACCGCTTTATTTTGCCGGTTGCCTTGATAAAATGGGAACCAAATCAGTTCCATCAACTTGCGTCATGTAGCAGTGCACTTATTGAATTCATGAATTTTCTCACATTATAAGCGCACTCAGCCCCAAATATATTGTCTCATGAACCAGGTACTCGGAAGTAGATTTTGGTACCTTTTTTATCCACAACTATAATATACCATGGTGCACACAAACAATGGTGGGCTATCTATCGAATTATTATGACAATAGGATGCAGTTATGGTGCAAGTGACGGATGGTCGTTGATAATAATCTATATGTCCGGTACGAGACTAGACGGCTAACCAAAGGTAATGGGTAGAACACACAAAAGTTCAGCTGAGGAAAAATTTTATTTGACGGCGGAAGATCTAGCTAATGCTAAAAATAGGGCACCACGATCGAGCTAACTAGGGTGGATGTATTTGGTGGTCGCGTGCGTGGACGTAGCATTGTTCGCAGTCAAGTCGCGCGCGCCAACGTTGAATATCATGTTTGAGCTTCAAACAAACTGGAACAATGTCCCAACAGGCAAACCGCCTAATCCCCTAATACATAAGAAAGCTGTAATTTTAATATATTTTAGAATAGTTTACACACTCATACAGGGAATCTCCAGGTCCCTACTTGTGCATTTGGCTCCCCGTGGGGAAATGGTATAGATAGGCGAGAGTTACGTTCATGGCCGAAACGTACATGTCCCTAAATTAAGTGGCGCCTATGGCAATGCTAGCGACAGAATCGAATCTTTCACGTAGGAGTTTTGTCCTGCAGCAGATTAGGTTCGCTAGGTACGCTACGTTGAATGTGTCATGGTGTGAAATGGTGACATATATATTGAAGAGGTACGGCTTAACTAGTTTAATGTTTTGTTAGCAAGCGATGCCAATACAATAAATTTTATTGTTGTTATCGTTGTGTTAGACTGTATTAAGCTTTCGAGTTACGGCGCCACATTGGAAGTTGTCGTGATGCCTGGTGATTCCGATAGGGTTTGTCGCTTGGTAGATCAGTATTATTGGAGAGTTACGGACAGCGGAAGAAGTACAGTAACTAAAAGTTCCTATTTCGGCCTCATTTTACAAGCACACATTGGTGCCTCAACGCAGTGCGAGACATTCAACTTCCGTGTTTGTCTTCCTTTGTAACTTCGTTAAGTACAAAAATGTTGTCTTCTCGACTTTGCCAGACACGCCTGCATAGGCGCACTCAAGTTGCTACAAACTTTGAGGACAGGCAAACGCAAATAACGGTAAATGTTTACAGGTGATACATGATTCAGTGTGATAGGTATATAAGAACTTTCGTAGGTACGTATATCTAGGGCCATGTTGCGTAGGTTCATGAATGGAAATCGATAACTAAAGGTTGTTATTCTCGTTGGTACGATATCCACCCAAACAGGCGTGATCGAGTAGTAGCATTGTTTCTCAATACATAGATCACAGCTCGGTCGGGAATACCTTGTTGCTCAAGGTATTCAGCTTTAGCGACAAACTGAAAATGTTGACAAGGTAGGTGAGTTGCAGGAGTAAAAAGATTGATGGATCAAGTTTGTTAAGGTAGTATGACACTTTTGGAAGGCAGTCAAAATTTTTTCCGTGATGGGCTGATATTGTCGCCAGGTTCAATGACCAGCTTTTGCAGAACCAACTAATAATCTCGGATTTTTGGTTGCTTTTGGTCGGTCATCAGCATGAGAAGTGTTGAAGAAAAATTTTCTTATTGGAGGTCTGATGTCCTTGAGTTGGTTGCGATCATCTGGATACGTAAAAGGCAATAAGGTTAGTTATTGGCGGGCCAGGTTCTCCACGTCGCAGTGTCGTTGCGCATGTATTGTAGCCTTTTACCGATAGGATGCTTATCATGTGCAACCCCCACTTCCCAGTACACTGCCACCGAATCAGTTGCCGGAAGGAGATTAACGCCCACTAACCAGATGTCAACAAGTGGTTGTTCGGCAAATCGGCTTAAGGACTACCTAGCACATGGCGCCCGAATGCAGAAGAACTAAGTGGCCAGCTTTAAGTAGGTTAGAGCCGAGGCAGTGCGCTCTCCATACGCCTTGCGCCTGATGAGCACATGCAGGCTATTTGAAATACGTTTGTCCTTACTCTCAGATATACCTCTTCCCACGTCCATCTTTCAGTGAGGAAGTTTGCAACCGCGAAGCCACCATGTTTGGACTTCATCGCAAAACAGTTAATGAATAGACGGGGGGAGATGCTGGCAGATCCACAAGGCAGCTCTCTCGGGCGGTACTTTTCGGCAGTTTCGTGAAGCCTGTAATGCTTACGCTCGTCACCTACCGGCTGCTTGTTTTGCTATTAATTGGAGCTGGTTAACTCAGTCTCTGCAACCCCCTTATGAAGGTTTGCCAACCTCAAGAGTCCTAGAAACTTTGGCTCATCTATCTTAGTGTTATTTGGCAGCGATGGCGCCGCTGATAACACTGACCACCAAAGAGCCTGTCTACGCCTTGCGCTATTTGCTTAGACGTTTGCTCTGGAGGATAGCTTGTTCCATGTTGTCCTAGCGTTAAGAGTTTCAAAGGCCTCTTATATAATCGACTGCTTTAACTCTGCGACACAATCTCACCAACTTCTGGGCCTAAATACTACTAGATCCGTTAGGATGGAAGTCGTCCAACCAGAGCTTCTGTATACACAGGCAAGTGATCTTGATGGCACCGTTACTAGTTCGTTTCAGATGTCGCCTCACGACTGGTTCTTGCTTAAGGTCTGGTAGGAAGCTAACGTCTTAAGGGTTTTTAAAAGTACGCCTAACATATCCCTAACAACTAAGGACCGGTTAGTTTGACAAACGTACTGCCCAAATCCTCGGAGAACTTAGGTTGGGAGTCGATCGAAAATCATATGCTGGCGTATGGGTTATCTTGTCCATCTGAACACGGTCTTCCAAATGTTCACTCCTGCATGACTAATGTGCTAGCCCGCGCAAATGTTGGGCGGATGCTGTGAAACCGGATCATGCAGTGGACGCGTTGTGTATTGTCGTCTGCAAAGCGTGAAACATCGTACTACATGCTCTTCTGTCTTTGTAGCTTCCTTACAATGACATTTCAGGGCGTACTCATAAATGAATGGCGACATTTCAGGAAAAGTGAGATGTGTGTCCATGTGACGCCTTGTCGGTCCTTCCGTCAGTCAGTCCTTAGTGGGATGCCGCAGCATGCGGTGCTTGAAGCATGGTTATTTACTCCGTACGTCAATGAGCTGCCTGAATTGCAGGGGTACCGTCAACTTGTTTTGCTGTTGACAAAGTTTTATTACACAGCTTTCGACTTCGATGTACCCAGATTCTGCAACGAGTTCTCGATACACTTTTGGACAGCGCAGTTCTTTGGCAGATGCCCACAGACGACGCCAAATGTTCCGTTCTACGACAAGGGTTAAATGGTTAGCAAACGCGCTTCCTTTATGTAAGAATGGACTGCAGCATCGTTGATAATTAATGGAGCTAGGGGTCACTCTGTCTTTAAAATATAAGTCCAGAGAAAACTTTTTGAAAGCTGCTTGTCAATGTTCCAGGTTGCCGTTATTAAGCCTCAGGGCATACGGAACCATCGCCGTAGCTAGGTTTGTTATGTTTTTCTCAGCCTGCTTTAGGTCACACATACAATGCTGCATCTAGACTTCGTTGCCTTTCCATGTCCAGGACTGGATGTCGGCGTAGGTTGGTGAGGGTTACAACCGTAATAGTGTATTTGCTACGGAACGTTCCTTACGCAGGACTAACTTAGCCGGGAAGGTTTTCAACGTATCATCGTCGCCCTTGATGTGACTTGGTCTTGAAGTACCGTATAATTTCCGGTAAAGTGCGCCACGTTTATCTGGGATTTTCCAACCAACTTGGCTTCCATCTATCCTTGGTTACTCGATGAAGCTACACAAGCCACGATCGGATGGCCTCAGCGCGGACATTAGTTTAGCATGTCTTGTGGTGGATAACTTGAATCCGTTGCTCGGGCACATGATCTTATCACCAACGGTGAAGGAGTTAATATGTCTACAAGACGCCCTTGGCTTTCATTTCTTAACTATACTCTTGATATCTTAGCCGATTCACTTTATTGCTTAGTAACCCTCTATGACTCTTTGTCTTTACGCTTCTTTTATTCCCAAATTTCTGTTTCTTGTTTCGCGTGACATGCTACTTGAGAGGCAACTGCAGGTCACGTGGGTATTAAGTGACTGACCGTATCGTGAATCACCTATGCATTTTGACTATCCTGGATTACAGTTACTGCGGGCGATAATCAACCTGGATCAACGACGTGCCACGGAAGGAACGCCCAAGTGATTTTATCCTAGGGTTCCCTTCCCACTTAAACTTGACAAACTGGGAAACACCTACTGGAGGCGCACACCCATAGCGCGCGATACACATGGTGGAATCTGTGACCCTACAAAAATAGGTGAGTTTAGTACTAATTTTCCTCTACCGAACGGCTTATATAGCTTTTCGCCCCCTAAAGTTTCTATTTGGCCTACTCCTCGCTTCCATCTTTACTGACTGAGATAACTTTTCCTATGAAGGTCATTCGCCCAGATTCTGACTATAAGCCCCATGGTTTAAGTCTCCCTATACTGAAAGGTACCAATCTTTGAGTTGAGCCAGAACTCCTGCTAACAGAGAGGCTGAGGCTGAAAGAAACCATCAAGAACATCAAGTGCAGACGCGCGGCCGGTGAACAGAGTGGCCGGTTATTGGGTTTCCAGGTGGTCAGGCGGCAGCATTTCTCTGCCAGTCCTTACTGATAACGCAGAATCAGCTTT